TTAAACTCAACCTGGAGGAAACTGTGGCCAAAGTGTGCCAGAATGTGACCTTGAAGGGTCTGATGCATGGGTAGTGGAGGAGATTGTGTCCATGGGCAAGAGTAAGGGTCTGGACATTGATAGTGCACAGAGGAGTTTGTTGAGGACCATTAGGAGGAGCTGATGATAGAAGAACTTGCTGAACTCCAGAGCAGCAGAAGGCACTTGTTGAAGACCATTCCATTGAGGAAGAGGAAGACAAGGCAGAGATTAGCAGTTATGTAACAATCCACTATGGAAATCCATAATCCATTATGGAAAAATGGAATGAGTGCCAGGATTTCTTTGAGACGCACCACCCCAACATAACTGTAATAAGCAGAGTTGAATCTGATGAACAATAATGTGGTCTCTCATTTTCGGAGGGTCATGCAGCACAGGAAAAAACAAGTGACATTAGATAGATTTTTCATCAAAATTTACCCTGCAGCTAAGAGACAAAGGAAAGAGAAAAATCCTGAAGGAGATCTCCCCAATATCCTTACGGAGAGGGACTCTCCCTTCAAACAATAACTTCCTCCCCACCCAGCTTCCTGTACTCCACACCAGAAGTCACCTCTAGCAAGGTTAGTGTTCTCTCTTTTCACACTGTACTGTACTTTGTTTCATATTTTTGTGCCTAAAAAATACATATGGTTCAGAACAGATTAACCTTATTTACATTAAACCTTATGGGAAATTTTGATTTGATTAAACACCGAAATCAATTTGTGACCATGTTCGTGGGGGTCAGAATGGATTAATCTTATTTAAATTGAACCTTATGGAGAAATTTGATCCAATTCTCAACCAATTTGATTCTTGACCAGAATCATGGAATAAATTAAGTTCATGAACTGAAGCATCACTGTAAATCCCTTTATGCCTCTTACTGACATGTCCTACAAATTCTTTTTCTGTGATGGGAATCAGCGAACCTGTGAACTCATTGGGTGAGTAGAGTGGATTTAGGCTTCTTATCTCACTGGGAACCTCCTCAGATTCTGTCTGGTGACACATCCACAACCCCAGGAAGGACTGAGGATGTTCACTGCAAAGCAGAGCTCAGCCTGGTCCAGCTCGCTCCTTGCTATGCCTGGAGCCACCTAACTGATAGCCCTTCACTTCCTGTTCTCCAACCACCAGCCTCTTCTCCATATAGCTGAGACCCCTTTAACATGAAGTCAGAAGATGTTATTCTCTTGCTTGAGATCTTCCAGGAGCTCTGCTTGCACAGAGAATGTGGCCGGCAGGTCCCTGCCCTCCAAGCCCCTTCCTCACTTTGTGCCCCTCTGCTTGTGGTTCTGTAGTGGCATGTTCCCTTGTCCACACCAAATTCCCCCCTCAGGATCTCAGAAGGTGGTGACCCCCTGAAAAATTCCTCTCCCTGAAGCCTTCTGCAGCTGGTGCCTCTCCTTTCAGCGGGGCCAGCCTTGGCCACTCTGTTGGTGAACCCTCTGTTTCCCTCTTGTGGATCTTCTTGATGTGTGATTACTGCCAGTTTGACACCTTACTTAACTATTGCTTCCTCCAACAGATGAAAAGCAACTCAGCAGCATGGCTGGGGTGTGTCAAGGATCCCAGAGACCCCAAGCCTTGTCTCTGGTGGCATTTGATGAGGCCAGTAATGAGCATTGGTGGAAGGGCACTTGTTCTCAAGTCAGTCTTGTCAGTCCTGACCACCGAAAGCTTTGGACAAGGAGGGGCTTAATGGCAAACTAAGGGATGAAGATAAAGCTCTCATGGAAGGTACTTAGAGTGGGCCATGGTCGTATCAGCAGCTTCCTATGGGGAGGAAGAGAGCTGATTTGCTCACTCTGTCACCCCATGGGACACCCTTTGTGATGTCACAACTTAGTGAGACAAACCTTGCCAGATACCACACAGATCCACGAGCAGACAAAAACCTCTGTTCTTTATAAATTATCCAGCCTCAGGTATTTTAGTTGGCCTTTTAAAAAATTAACCCAGCTGTGCTGAAGCTCAAACCCAGGGCCTTGTGCTTGCTAAACAAGCACTCCACCACTGAATTACACTCCTAGTATGCAAGGTTTCTATTACAGCCACAGAAGTGGACTAAGATAGTCAGGCAGTCAGGCTGTGTACAGTCACTTGATGTGGCCACAGTGGTGTTGCCCTTTGTCACTCTGCATCTGCTACTCAATCCCCACGCAGCATCTTCCCCCTCTGACCCTTCATGCCTTGTGTACATGAATCTGTGGTCCATGCCCCTCACTGCCCTACAAGTTTTAGCCACACCATTTGGCCTCCACCATCCCACATGACTCATTAAATTTGCCTTGAGAATATTTTTTTTATTCTGAGTAATAGAAATCTACTTATACCAGCTGTGCAGCCACCTCACTTGGAGTCTACCAGGACCTAGAGAGTGGTTAGCAAGTCCCACTCCCTGGATCACACAACCACTTATCTTCATTTCAGCTGCACATCTGCACATTTTCTGTGTCCCTGAGACTGTTTCAGTGTCCACCGTAGCCCTCCTCACCCCTCCAGGAAACCATGTCCTTGGCATAGAGCAGCTTCCCTGGGCTCCAGTCCAATCCTCTAGTGAGAATGACTCAGCTTGGGATGGCCTAGGTCAGACATTCTGCCAGATGTGTTTGACAGGGTCCCATGGGACAGATAGACCCCAGGGACCACGCTAGCAGTAGAGGAAGAGTGGCTTAGGGGAGCATCACTGGCTGGTACCTCTGCCCAGGCAGATCTCAGCCTGAAGGTGAGCAAGCCTGGCAGCTGTCCTATGGAGGCATGAGGGGAAAGCTGCACTCCAGTCATGGGTTACTATGTTTTTCTTCAGTATTTTTATTTCCTAGAATATTACAGTCATTTTTTAAAACTAAAAACTAGTTTATTAAAATCCACAGCACTATTTTACATGTAAATATTTTACTTTATGTCCCCAATAAAATTTATTATCCTTTTACATTTATGGCATGGATGAAAGCAAACTCTTTGATATTTTATTTTTAAATCATTGGTCACTTACGCATATGTGAAAACATGTGCATAGGGAAGCACATTGTTCCTCTTGCCTCAGGCTTTACTATGGTACAGATTAAGGTTTCATTTAAAATTGAAATATTATTGTCATACATTTTTTGCATTCATTTGATTATTTAAAAAGATGTCATCAAAATATTGCTCACCTGAGAACTGAATTTTTGCCCTCCCTGCTGTACAGTTGTTGTTTTTTTTAATTTGGGTTTCTCTCTCTCTCTCTCTCTCTCTCTCTCTCTCTCTCTCTCTCTCTCTCTCTCTCTTTTGGTTTTGTTGAGACAGGGTCTCACTAAGTAGTTTAGCCTGGCCTTGAACTCACTATGTAGCCCAGGATGGCCTCAAACTTACAGCAATTTTCTTGCTTCAGTCTCCCAAGTGCTCAGATTATAGGTGTGCACCATTATGTCTGGCTCCTGCTGTGCACTTTGCACTCTGTGATGACTCTGTCCCTGGTCAAAGCTGGCGCCACTTCCTGGGTGCAGTGGGTCAGGTTTCACCTAATGAGTCAGCATCAGTCTCTGAGAGGAAACTAGAAATACGGTTAACTAGCAGAACACAGCCTTGGGACAGTGTACGGCAGGCATCCTTAGGAGGACCAGAGGCCTGACATGGCCAGGGAGGGCAGTCAGCGGACACAGGCAAGCCAGCACCAGGGCGGAGGAGAGGGAGCATCAGTCCTCATGTTTCCCTTGACTTAGTGAAGTTTTTTCTTTTGTTAAATTCTTTTATTGGTACATTGTAGGTATACAACACAATTACGTTTCTCATTGGGAACTGTACCTTTACATGATGCATCTTGGTTCTTATTTTTTCCCCATTCCTAGCCCTCCCTTCACCCCCTCCACCCTTCTCTATTTACAAAGACTTTATTTCCATTTTTTCCATTTCTCATCATTTTTCCTTTCCCTTCTTTTCTTTCCTCTGCGAAGTTTTTGTTTTTGTTCTGCAGTGCTGGGTACGGAACCCAGGCCCTCATGAATTCTAGACAAGGACCTTACCACTGAGCTGCACACCCAGCCCCAGTTCTTGAGAGCATTGCTGTCTGTCTCAACTGTCCCCAGTTCTTGAGAGCATTGCTGTCTGACATGTGTTAGAAGAAAGTGTGGCCTAAAATTATACAGGAGAGACTTTGAAGACCGTGTAGAGGAGCCTGAGCCTTCAACTGACCCTGTGGTTGATGACACTGTCATATTGCAGAGTCCATAGGCTTAGAGGTAAGAGGGTGGTGATTTTGAAAAAATAGTAGAGGGACAATCAGAAGAACTGTCTACAGAACTTCAGCAACTTCTGGCTGAGCAATAGAGAATGCCAGCTGAGGAGCTTTCTGAAGAGGAGCGGGGAGTATCAACAATCAATGCAGCAGGTTTTTTTCTGAAATAAAGGAAATCTGGAAAAAATGAACAGAGTTACAAACATTTGTAGAGAAGACCTACCCAGACATAGAAAAAGCCAATTGTTATATTAAAGACCAAAAAAAAGACAACCTTAGACCAGTTTTTAGTTCTGAAAAAGTTGAGACCTAATGAGCCAGAAGCAGATCCTAGTGGGCTACAGACTCTCCCAAGGAGAGAAAGGACACCAGAGACCTAGATTCCTGATGTTCTTATAGAAGACTCTCTTTTCAAACAATAACTACCTTTCATTTCATGCTTCCTTCCTGCAGGCCAAAGATGTCAACTTGCATGGTGAGTACAGTATGAAATTGTTATTTCTGGCAACTAGGTACATTTTATAACTTTTTGGTGAATACACTAGGAAAATTATTGGCATTTCTGGTAAATTAAACATATTATACAACCCTTTTTATTATGAAAAGATTAGTTAAGGGATGCTTTGGGAGGTTCGGAATGCAATATGGGTATTTCTATTATTTCTTTTTTTTTTTGGTACTGGGTATTGAACTCAGAACCTCGCGCTTGCAAGGCAGGCGCTGGAACCACTGAGCTAAATCCCCAGCCCTTTTCTATTATTTCTTATGGGAAAAATATTCTTGACTTACAACCAACTTGAGTTACAACCAGCCTTTGAGAATTAACTGAGTTCGTAAGTCCAAGGGTCCTGTATTATATTGTATGATTATAACATATTTTACTTATCCATGCATCAGTTAATGGTTTGTTTCCATTTTGGGGATATTACAAATAATATTCCTATGAACATTTGTGAACAGTTGCTGTATAGATGTTTTCATTTCTCTTAAACATACACCTAGGTTATATGGTAAATCTGTGTTTAATTTTGTTTTTAAAAATTATCCAACTGTTCTCTAAAGCAGTTATTTTCTACCAGCAAGTTGCAAGGGCTCCAATTTCTCCACCTTACTCTCAACAATTGTTATTAACTTTAATTAATTTATTTTTTTTTACTATAGCCATCCTAGTGGATATGAAGTGGTATTTGTGGTTTTGATTCGCATTTCTCTAATGGCTAATGATGTTAAGCAACTTCTCATGGGCTTATTGTCCAACTGTATATCTTCTGTGCCTATTCAGATTCTTTGCCTATTTAAAACTTGGACTGTCTGTTTGATTCTATTTTTCCTGTTTTAACAGTGAGTAAAGTACAATGAATGTAATTACTATTAGCTAACTATTGGATTTGCAGATTCACTGAGTGCTAAAGATAATCTATAAGGCCTTGACATAAAGCTATATTGTTATTTTGCCAAAGCATTTTATTTTATATTTTGCTGATGTATGTGTTTAAATCATGTATTATAGAAACACTGTAAAGAGTGTTCTCTAGCTAGTGAAATTAAACCAAAAAAGAAGCCTTCAAATCTTCAAATGACTTTATTTTATCTACCATGCTGGGAATACAATTATATGCTAAAGTGCAAACCTCATTTGAAATGTGTTCCTCTAAGGTCCAACATTAGCACAAAGGCTTATTAAAAGCAAAAAATACCTGTTCAGAACCAAGAATAACTGAAAAGAATTAAACTACTTCAAATCTCTCAAAGAACATCAAATGCAAACGAGATCTAATTAAAGTCCCATGGAAAAACTTAGCCCCTCCTGCCTTCTTTTCCCTCTCAATCTTTCCTAAGAGACCACATTTAAGGGCTTTTGTTTTGCCTTTTCTCCATCTCGCCATTTGCCATTATCTATTTATTTCCATGTTTTAACAGACAAGTTGTACATTTGTAGCCCACAGGTCTTATTTGACCTATGCATGCAGAAAAACAGAGGAGACTGCCCCCCAAAATAAAATAAAATAGGTATAAAGCAATATCAAGGAAACATCTGATAAGGAAATGCAGTGTCAATTACTTTCCATAAATAACATACATCCTCAAATGATGAATCCAGAGAAAACTGTTAATTCTCTGGGTCTTGTCTCTTGTTGGGTTATGATGTGAGAAAAAAAAGTTCTACATATTCCAGTCTGTTTCTTTGTTCTGTCCTTTAATTATTTACTTGTATTTCTCAAAAGCCTCAAATATTTTAGAGATATGAAGAAAATTTTGTGGTCTTTAGTATTTGCTACAATTTTCCTTCTAAACAAAAGAATTCTCCCAGCACCTTGAAAACAGAGAGATTTCATTAAAAAGACAAACAAAAAGCCAGACCACAAAAACATCAAAGCTGCATTTGCAATATATGTACATACTTAGGCTTTCAGGTTACATTTTAGTGAAGGGGAGTAATGGCTGCAATTTGCAAAACAAGACTGGTCCTCTTAAGGTGGTTATATACTCATTATTGCACAACTGACGTCTACTACTTTTTAACTAAGTATTTTTAGAAAACAGATCTGCAAGAGCTAGAGAGAGGGGAGAGAGATTTTTTAAAAATTAAGGCATGTTATGTACGTGTACCAATTCCCTACAAGGAATATGATCATTAGGTAAAACAATAGGAAATAAGAGTTGTCAGTGTGGGTGGCCACATGTGGGACAGCCACATGTGGGGCAGCCATCCTCAAACAATTGGAGCTGACAAGAAGGGCCTACTGTGTGCAGACATGCTCTTATGTCTATCTGCAGATTCTAACCTCCAGACAACTGGATGATGTAGGCACTGCAGTAACCCTCTGTGAGTGAAGAGGAAGCCAAGGAAGAGAGAGATTGGTCCACACAGTTGACCCAGGGATTCCAATCCAGCCAGGATAGTCCAGAGTCCAGGCAAGGACCAAGAAGCCGCTCCTCTGTCAGACCACCTGGCCACTTGCAAGAAGAGCCAGGCTGTACTGGCTTAGGGCACCGCCCTTACCTGGGAGCCTCAGATATAAACTGGGGGAGGGGAGATTAGTGTGGTGGGCAGAGTTTCACTTAGTTACAGCAGGAGCAACTCACTCCACACAGAGGACAAAATTGCAGGCTGAAAGCTGAATTCCAGAGATCTGACCAGGTGGGCCAGTAGGGGCTGTTGCACCCTGCATGCCAGTTAACTAAAACTGCTTGTGGCTCTAGCCAGTAGCTGGGCTCACATACTGCACTGTCCTGACTGCAGTATATACTATACTCCAGCCTCCAAGCTGCCTGAAAACTTGTTCACACTTTAACCCTAACCCTCCATTCCACTGCTCACTGGTGCGCCAAGGCAGCAGTTAAGGAGGTAAGCTAGAAGGTGTCTTAAAAATAATAGTGCTATAGAAGAATTTTGCCAAGGGACCAAATTGTAACCTTGCTGCTGGCATTCACACTGACATTTGGATCCCAGCAGCTCCTGAATCCTGGCATTGTCCCCGGAGCTACATAATCAGAGAGGCAAACAAAAGCTCCTCAGAGTCAGCACCGCAGTGCTGTCCTGAGGGTGGGAAACACAGGAAAAATCAACCCAGGAGAAGTCCCTGAAAGTAGACCGTTTCCCCAGAATGGCTCTTGTTCAAGTGATGAGAGCTCCCATGTTAGGACCCAGAAGTGAGACTCACAGGCCTTGCCCCCAGAGTGGCCAGGTAGGCTGCAGTGACAGTGAGCAGCAGTGTTGCAGAGGCCATGTAATAAAGGGACTACAGGAGTCAGTTCACGGTCAAATGTGCTCGTTGCAAAGCCTGCTTTCCCTTTTTGCCATGAGATATTTTCCTGAGGACTTCTTAACATTCATCATTAGATTCTGAAAAATTCCAACTCTAACACAAACTTCTTTACCCATGTTGCCTACCTTAGCGACCTGGCATGAGGATATGATAACTCCTAAATGTGTGTCTCCCACACCAGGCCCTGCTGGCGCTCCCAAGCTGGACACAGAGCCATGGATGGACTCTCCATAAGGCTTCTAATCACATCTCGCAGTGTGTCAGGCTCTGCCTACACCTCCCAGGTTTCTGCTTTTGACAGGTTCGTGGCCATCCTCCCAGTAGCACAAAGTCCCAAATCTAGGGAACTTAAATGGTTTCTTCCTTTCCTAATAGCACTAGAAAATGATTTTCTTCTTCCCAAACACCTACCAAATTCACCCATTTCTCACTGTCACTGATAGAGGCAGACCCTAAGGTACCCGGTCTCTCACCTAGACTGCAGAGCAAAACCTTTTCCCTGTACCTCTTACTTACTTTTACTTTTTCATATGTGTTTTTAAAAGGTTTAACTGTGAAATTTTTCAAACATATAAAAATAGAATGATATAATGAACCCCCCTATCCATTATTCAGTTTTAAAATTATCAGCATTTTGACCATGTTGTTTTTATGTATCCTCTCACATATACTGATATTTTGTTTTAGGATATTTTAAAGAAAATCCCTTACATCATGTCATTTTTACTTATAAATACTGCATTAGTCTGAAATTGATAAGGGAATTTTAGGAAATATAACCACTATGTTCTTATCATATCTAGCCAAATGAACAATAATCTCTTCATACCATACTTATTTAAAAAATCTATTTTTATAATTACTCTCTTGGAATCAGTATCCAAATAAATTCTACGTATTTCATTTAATTAATATGACTCTCAAGTCTCTTTTAATCCCTTCCTCCCCCTTTCATGCCTTTGGCTTTTGGGGCACCTGGTCATTGGTCCCATGGAGCTTTTCATACTCTCGAATGGTTGATGATACCCATCGTGGAGTCACTGAAATTGTTTCACTATCCCCCACTATTTCCTATCAGCTGGTGTCTGGCTTTTCAGGACTGATTAGAGCTAGGTTCCATTTTTCTGGCAAGAACACCACATACGTGGTGTTGGAAACTTCCTATCACATCCCACCAGGAGCACATCATGTCCCAGAGTCCCAGTCTCAGTGAAGCTGCAGTTGATCTATGAGTCCTATTAGTTTGTAAACTGTCAACACCTCAGAATCCATTCTAATCAAAATTAACACTGTGACATTGAAGTTTAAAGATCCTCTGGAGATTCTATTAGGTAATTGGAGCACAGAATCAGATTATCATTTTGTAATCCTTAAGGAAATAATGTATATGACTACTGACCTCCAATTGCCACTAACATCCTACTCACTTGTATGAAGAATTCCAGAGATCATGTGTCTGAAAAGATATATATATAACACCATGCATGACTTGCCAAGATGGAACCCAAATGTGATTGATCCTCTGGATATAAATACTGATTTTCAGAAAATGTTAAATGATACAATGAGGATGTAGCCAGGACAATATGGACTGTAGAAACTCAATCTTTTGGAGACAAACAAATATTTACAGATAAAATTTTTTGTTGTCCTGGACCTGCTTTAAAAGCACCTGGAATAGGGGCAGTAGTCAGGAAATAGATGAAAGAAGATTTAGCCACAATGTTGATCATGTTGAAGCTAGTTTTCAGGTATGCTGAGGCTCATATACACTTTTCTATACTTTTGAGAATTTTCAAAATGAAGAATTGGTAATAAGAAAGCACCGAGAGCTAGTCATTCTATACAAGATAATATCTTAGTTCTCAAAGTCCACAATCCCGTGGCAAAAATTCCTACTTCCAACCTTACTTTCTCTTCTTAGCAGCATACTTTTTTGTTCCAACCAAATTGGACTAGTCCATGTTTCCCAATACAAAATATAGATTCATGCCTTGTACCATCCTGTGCTGGATGCAAGTCCTCTCTTTGTCTTCACTCCAGGTTTGATTCCTGTATGTCATCCACATATGGTTTCAGTATCCTCTCCTCTAACAATTTCTATCTAACAAAATCTGTCCTTCTCTGATCTGCTCTAACACAAGTGTGTGCATCTCACCTGCAGCATTGATGGTGTTGGTGACCTGACTGTGCACATATGACTTTCCTGCCTATAGGTTATATGTTCCTGAGACCATCGGCCCTGGCTACATCTTTTGGTACATATAGCACTGTGGCTCACAATAAGAGGTCAGTAAAGACAGTTTAATTATGTGTGCATAATCACTTGAATTCTAGTAATAGAGCTTTAAAAGCTTAGGAGGAAGAAGATATTGGAAAACAAAGTTAGGAAAAAGAAGGTAGAAGTGTGACTCTCTGCTTGGAAGAGAGAGATGCTACCTGGTGACAGCTTTCTGAAAACTTTGGACTTCACATGGAAATGTTTTGTCTGATAGTCTAATAGAGGATATGAGCAGATTTCCCCTGGGCTCTGCATAAAGAATTAGTTTTTGCACACACGGGGGACTTTTCTTTCATGCTGCCTGCCTTGATGTCCTGCTGCCAGAGGGCACCATCCAGCGAGTCCTTGAACCACTCATTAGCTGGCCACCACTGGGTTCTCTTTATTTATCCTAATTTCTTTTTAGATACATTTCACCAGCCGGGGGCATAGCCAGTAGCAGGGTGCTTGCCTAGCATGAGTTTGATCGCAAAAACCACAAAATAAAAAAATTTAAAATGTATTTCAAATAGCCATAGGGAAAAAAGAAAAGATTATTTGAAGAACAGAAAAGCTGTCTCTGTTATTTATATGACTGGCTAGGATATTGTCCCTTTGTCCTGACATATGGAGCTTTTCTTGAATATGTAAAAAAATTATATGTCTATCATAAAATTCATCATTTTTACAATTTTAAGTGCACAGTTCAGTGGGATTAAATACACATATTGTTATCAACCATTACTTCAGAACTTTCTCATCGTCTCAAATTACTACTATAATATACTTATTAAGAAATAACTCCCAGGTAGGTATGGTGGCACTCTTTAGAGACTGAAACAGGAGAATCACAAGTTCCAGCCCAGCCTGGGAATTTAGCAACTTAGTGAGACCCTGTCTCAAAAAAAAATTGGAGGCCCTGATTTCAATCCTGAGTATTCTAAAACACATACATCCCTCCTATTGTCCCTTCTCTCAGCCCCTTACAACTACCATTCTGTCCTCTGAACTAAACTGGATCCTCTGCGTACCTTGTAAAAGTGGAGTCACACTAAAGTACAACAGAAGAAATAGAAAGGTATTATAGTTTATATCAAGATGTTTCCCCAAAGCCTCATCCGTTCATAGGTGAGGCTTTTGGAGGTGACTAGATTATAGGTGTGTGATACTCATCAATAGATTAGTCCACTGATGGGTTTGTAGCTGGGTGTGATATTGGGAGGTGGGAAGAGGTGGGTCACTGTTGGCATGGCCTGGAGGAGCATGTAGCTCTCCTCCCTTGATCCCTCTCTGCTTCCTGCCTGCCATGCCATGGATTGTCTCTCCTCTGCCATGCCACCCTGTCTTGGAGTCAGCCATGTATGGACTGAAACCTCTACAAACTGTGAGCCAAAATAATGCTCTCCTCCCTTGTGGATGTTGGGTATTTTTGTCCCAGCCCACAAGAAAGAAACTAAGACAAAAGGAGTCAAAGAAACTCAACTTTTCTCTCACTTATTACTTTAAAACCTTGGGACAGAGTCCTCTCAGTTCTGCATACAGGCCTGCTAGTTACTCAGAGAGTATCTGTATTACAAAATTTCTTAGTCCTAAATTCCCCTAATTTATCTCATCCCCTTGAGTCTGAGGACACCAAGATAAGAGTAACAAAGTAATTTTCAGAGATTCTCAATTGCCAGCTTTCACAATGTCCAGTTCCAGATCCTCCTGGAACAATGCCTAGAAATCTTCAAACCTGGAATCACCTGAGATTCCAGGAAAGGCAGAGCCTTGCAGACCACCCCAAGATGAGATCACCTCCCTCAAGCAGGAGCAATTACCCCATGATGGGAGCCCAGGCAGTCCCATCCTGAACATGGACAGGCCTCTCCTGGGAATCTTAAGTCATAAAGAATCCTCTGGGAATGTAGTAATCAGACTGAGATAACGATTGGCCAGACCTGGCCCACCTCACTAATCCTTCTGTGAGCAGCCAGTTTGAACCCCTCCAGTCACTCCAGCTGTCAGCTGTGCCTACTAAACCTTTCTATCCTCACATTGACTTGTCACAGAATTCCTTTTCTGTGATGTGAGTCAAGAAACTGCTCAGTGGACTGAGTTGAGAACTCTAAATCCTCTTTAGGGGATCTCCTCAGACCCTGTCCAGTGACAATACAGTATTTGTCTTTTTGTGCCTGATTTATTTCATAATGTCTGCAAGGTTCATTTATGTACCATGGGACAGGGTTTCGTTCCTTTTTGGGCTGAATCAGATTACACTGTACATACCATATTTTGTTTGAGACCAGCCTAGGCAAATTAGGAAGACCCTATCTCAAAATTTTAAAAGGGGCTGGAAATTTGGCGCAGTGTAATAGTGATGATCCTGGTTCAATCCCCAGAACTGCAGAAAGAGAGGGGGAATAGAGGGGGAGAGAGAGAGGGCAGGGGGATGCAGAGAGTTGGTAGCGGGGAGACTAGATGACTAGATGTGGCCATGATTCATTCACAGCAGCCATCAGGACCGGTGGAGCACAGTCCTGCTTGTCCGACACTGTGGAAAGCAGCACATGTGCCGGGCTATGGGCTGACATTTGCTTGTTTGGAAGAGGACCCTGCAACCCTCTTATTGTTCAGAGCCACTGTAAAGAAGGATCATTCACTGAGGGAGATTCCAGCTTTGAAAATAGGAGGAGTAGTGTGATTCCTGACATTCCTAAGAATCCATTTCTGCTTAGCGCACATTTCAGAAAAACAAAGCAGAAGAAGGAAAGATAAATCCTGGAGAAGGAAATCACTTGGGCTCCTTTTTGCTCTTAATCTAGTTGAAAAACGCGAATTATATGGTAGTGACCTTTTGTAGAAGGCAGGTCAAAGTATCAAGATTATGGCCAATATTTCTCATGTGATTTCTTGAAGTGAGTAACAATTAAAGCTGCCCTACATTTTGGAGGAATTATTTTTTACTGCAATGTCCAATGAGCTGGGGAAACAGCTGCTTTATTCTCTTAGCATAGATTTGGCCTCATGCTTAAATCCACTACTGACAACTACCAGTTTCTCAATTCAGAAGGCAAAGAACAAAAACCTAACCCTAACTCCAACCCTAAATATAAACATCAACAATGAGAAACTGCTCCAGTTGAGGTTACCTTAACATGTGAACAGATCATAGGACAGGAAGCATTCTGAGCATAGATAACGGATCCTTCTAACAAAGAATAGTGGATAGAAAGCCCAGGTGACTCCTCCTTTAGATTACACTCATTTCTTCATAGAGGGATTTGGCTGGTAGCAACACATGCTGGGCTTTGCTTTGGAGCATGGCCAGAACTCTCCTAGATGTAGGAAAAGGTCTCCAACTTCCATCTATCCCAAAAAATGTCATCTTGGGTTAGCAGAAAAACCAATCTTACATGAGAATCATTTCTGCAATGCAGTTTCCTTAGTATTTATAACCTAGTCTCCCCAGTTACAACAGCTAAAGTGAAGCCTCTGTGAATGAGCCACTGGAACTGTATGAAAGAAAATTGAATAATGGGGGCCTATTGCTGGGGCCTGATTAAAAAAATAATTGTTCCTGTACACTACTTTAGTACTGTGTACCAGTGCAGTTTCTAGAAATATTTTATACAGGGAGTCAGAATTTGAAGGCAGTGACATATGCTTGAAAGCTGAACACGGCTCACTTTCAGACTGCTCAGTGGAAAGGGATCTTACAGTAGACCAGTGACAAGACCACTGTTACCTTTCCAGGTGCTTGGCTCCACTTTAAAGACCACCTTCAGTAAAACCACCCTCTCAGCCCAGCGCATGTGATGCACACCTGGTGAAGAATATGGAACTTGCCTCTATGGAAAATGAAAATGAAAATTTAAGGATAAAGATGAATCTCATTTTGAAACTATATTAAGAGAGCAAATCTAGGGTTTAACCATCTTTAAATGGACTTAATTTGCTTCTAGTGAGTGCCGGAAACACTTGAAAAGCCTACATGTTAACTTTTGCATAACGGTTTGTTCTGGTTCTTTCCTCCCTTTTTAATGTAATTGCAATTACACAACATAGATCTTTTATTCTGATTTCCCAAGTACTGTACTGCTATTGTGCCGCCTTCTCTTTCTGGCAGTCAGGATGCTTTTGGCCAAGGTGGTTTGCATGTATTGCCTACATTGCCACAAAACAATGACCAAAATCAGGTTATTCACATCAACACAATACTGTTATAAGCGACAGACCTTATTCAAATTTTGTCAGTTATCTTATGTTCTGTATGGAAAAACTTGGAGCTGAGTGTGGTGACATGTGTCTGAATTCCCAGTTACTTGGGAGGCTGAGTGGTGAGGACCACAAATTTTTTTGGTTTTTTTGCTTAAATTCTTTTATTGGTACATTTTAGGTATATAATACGTTAACATTTATCATTGGGTGCTTGTACCTGTACATGATGCATCTTGGTTCTTATTTTTTCCCCATTACCTGTGTGCCCTTCACCCCTCCACCCTTCCCTATTTACATAGACTTCGTTTCCATTTTTTTTCTTTTCTCATAATTTTTCCTTTCCATTCTTTCCTTTCCCCATCTCCTCCTACCACTCCTACCCCTTTGGACCTTTTCCTATTTCAAAGTATCAGTTATTAGTTATTAATCCTTATTTATACTCTGAGTTTCTCACACTAGAGAAACTATTTGGTATTTACATGTGTGTCCTATTTATTTCACTTAAGAGTATGGCCTCAATATGCATCCATTTAGCTATAAATGTCTTAGTTTCTCATTCTTTATGGCTGAGTAGTACTCCATTTAATTAAAAAACCACATCTTCTTTATCCAGTTTCCAGTTGATGGGCACTTACTTGGGCTGTTTCCAAGCTTTAGCTATTACAAACTGTGTTGCTATAAACACGGGTGCACATATATCTCTGTGGTATGATTCTTTTAATTCTTTGGGGAAGATACCCAGTAGGGGAATAGCTGGGTCAAATGGGACCTTTAGTCCTAGTTCTTTGAGGCATCTCCATACTGATTTCCACAGTGGTTGCACCAATCTACACTCCCACCAACAATGGAGAAGGTTTCTTTTCTCTTCACACCCCTGCCAGCATTTGTTATTGGTTGATTTCACGATAGCAGCCATTCTTTCTGGGGTGAGGTGGAATCTCAGTGTTGTTTTCATCTCCATCTCTCGAATGACCAGTGACGTTGAACATTTTTTTATATGTTTATTTGCTGCTTTTACTTCTTTGTCTGAGAAATGAGGAGGACCACAAATTTGAGGCCAACCTGGGCAATTTAGCAAGACTGGTTGAGAAAGGGGGTTGAGGGGGGGGGAGAAGGAGAAGGAGAAAGAGAGAAGAGAGGAAAGAAAGGAGGAAGAAAAAGAGGAAAAGAATCGCTCATTGCATTTGCAGTCATATTTCTTGAGTCTCCTGCTCTGGAACAGCCTCTCAGTCTCCCTGTCTTTCCCAATATTGACATTTTTGAAGACCATGTGGGAGCACATTATAGAAAGTCCCTCTGTTTGGGTTTGTCAGATGACCCTCTTATTATTCTATTCTGGATGTTCACTTTTGGCAGAGATTTCATCACAGTAATGTGTTCTTTTTAGTGCATAATATCAAGAGACATTATTTTTAACAGAAAAAATATATCTTGGTTTGCTCTTCTCGATGAAAAAACTGAGTTGTTTAAACCATCATCAGATTTTTGCTTTTATATTTGCAGCAGTGGGGATTGAATCCAGGGCCTTTGCACTAAGATGCATCCCCAGCCCTTTTAAAAATATTTGTTTTGAAACAAGGCTCTAACTTGCAATCCTCCTGCCTCAATCTCCCAGAGTGATTGGATTACAGGTGTATCCCACTGCCACTGCGTCTGGCAATCATCAGGTTCTTAATGTTGTAGCTGTTTGGGCCACTGTAACAAAATTACTGCAGACTTGAGTGGCTTATAAAAAACAAAAATTCAGGGCCGGGGATTTAGTTCATTGGTTCTGCCACCTGCCTCACAAGGGCAAGGTCCTGAGTTCGATCCCCGGTACCAAAAAAAACCAAACAACAACCAAAAAAAAAACCCCAAAAGTCATTCCTCACAGTTTTGGGGACCAGGAAGTCTAAGACAGCTGGACTAGCCTCAGTCTTATGTAGTTACATACTCCATAAGAAAAATAAGAGAATTAAAGAGTGGACCAGACTTCAAGGCTATGAGATTAAGGAACTACAACTGGAGACAGGAGGATGAGACGTCAGCTCACCCTTCAAAGACTGGGTGGTCAGTAGAGACACCAAGTAGCCAGAACCAAGATAAACAAGATCATTAAGCTCAAACCCCTTAAGGCAGGGAAGGGATCTGCCCTGCTCCAAACCCAAGTAGGAACTTCCTAGATGACAAGGGTCAGATTCCAGGTGGCAAGGGACAATAGCCACCTATACTTTCATTTTATAAGCATAGTAAAAACCCCACCAGAGGTGGAAATAAGTTGGTAAGGAGACCTGCAGCCTATGAAGGGCCCTGGTCCAAAAGAGCATGGCTCAGCTGAAAGTCCACCTCTCCTGACAACCTGAGATAATGTCAAAGCTGTACACCTTTTGGGTGAGCCCTGGGTTTCTTTCCCCCACAGCTTTTCTTCTTGGGCTCCAGCATAAGAATAAAGCTGTGTTCCTGTGCAGAGGAAGAAGCTCTGTGTGCTTCTGCTGATAGAAAGCACTAGAACCCATGAAGTCCGTAATAAAGGCATTGGCAGACTTGGTGATTGGAGAGGCTCCTTCCTGGTTTAGAGATGGGCATGTTTCTGCTATATCCTCACCTGGTAGAAAAGGTGAGGAATTTTTCTGGGGCCTCAGGTTTGTTTTGTTTTTTCCTGAGACAGAGTCTTTCTCAGACTGGCCTTGGACTAGAAATTCTCCTGCCTCAGCTTCCTAAATAGCAAGGACTATGGGCACTTGCCATCATGGCTGGATCCTGAGGCCTCTTCTTTAAGGACATTGGTCCCAGTCACAGGGGCAGACCCTCCCAAATCACATCCTAAAGGCTCTACTTTTAATGCTGTCACACTGCAGTTAGGATTTCAACATATGAATTCTGAAGGGACACAAATCTTCAGGCCATAGCTATTAATAACTATAATACAATCCATATTCACTTATCCCTTTCCTCTAGTAGGAAAACTTTGGGATATATCTTACTCAGTTTTACAACTTAGTGCTCAGAAAATTGCATGGCATCTAACAGAAGCTCAATGTACTTAGTGAGAAAATTTTTCTTGAAGAAGACAACACTATCACTCCATCACAGCTCATCCTTCCGGCCTCTGCTCTCAGTCTCCCCCCAGCTGGGACCAGACAGTGTCAGACCACACAGCTTGGACAGGGTGGCTTTTGAAGATGGCATCAGCTCCACTGGTGAATGGAGAAACTGTTTTGTGTGGATCTGTCATTCACTTCAACACTCGATGAATGCTTGTATAGTAAATAAATGACTAAAACAGAATATGCCAGTGTTTTTACACTTCTGCTCAACACCAGAGTTTCCTAAAGTGGACTAAAGGTGTAGATCACTAATGATCAAAAACTACTCTTTTTACATTTTACAGGAAATGGAACATCATCAGTTTTGAGTTTCTCCATAAATTGGTGTCACACTTACACTTTTATTTACCATACCTACTTGTTGCTGGGTGCTGGTAGACAACAAAAAAAGCAAACGTGCCAGCAAGGGACTTTTTCATCATCCAGGAATGATCATGATTCTTTTATTTCTTCAGATATTCATTTGTGGGTATAACGTTATACTATATGCAAATAATTAGTTGTATAGTGTACATTGGTCATTTTATATGATAATCTGAGCCCCTTTCCTATATTCATTCTCTCTTCATTGTTAAAATCACAAATCACTGCAATTGAGTATATGGTCAACATTATTTTGATTTACCACGTACATGTATCAATACATACACACCCACTCAACTCTCACATCTTCCATGTGAGATGATTTTAATTTTTTTCTAAACATAATTCCTTAATGAGCAACTGTGTTGGAAGCAAACTCAATTTTATTTATCTGAGTGTATCTTTTCTTCACCTTCCCCCTGGAAAGCCCTAGAAGCTTCACCTTCAGGAATGGCTGGCAGTTATTGTTGTATGCGTGTTGATGTTGATCACTCCCCCACCTTCTGGCTCTTGTTGCTGCTATGAAGAGACTCACCTTTGATCTCAGTCTGATCATCCAGTTTTTAAAAGATAATCTATCATTTTTCAATGGCTTGTTTTGATATTTCCTTTTTACAGTTGGTGTTTTTTTTTTATGATGCCTCTAAGGACAGGTCTTCATTTAGGAATGGGTCTCCATCCAGGGACAGGTCTCTATCTAGGGACAGGTGTCTAGGTGCAGGTTTCTCTTTGTTCACTGTCGTTATAATTGTTGGATGTCCTGATCCATGATCAGTTAGGGAAAGTTCTTAGCTATTATGTGTTTGAATATTGTCTCTCACCCCTCCTCCCTGCTCTCTTCTCCTGCAACATCAAATGCATGCATTTTGATCTCATCCTATTCTTTGTGTCTTAACTTCTTTTTTTATATGTAGCATGATCAAAAAATACAGTGAATGTTTAAAGTTTTAAAAATTTATTACAGCAAAAGGCACATTGCCATTAATCCTCCTAAAAATACTCTCCCTTGATTTGAATATACTTATTGTTCTTGCCACTTTCTGAAGAAGTTCTAGAAGTTCTTTTCAATGGGTGTGGTTAGTTGAGATGTCATGGCTGCTTCAGTGTTCTGAGTCAGTTAAAAGCATTTACCTTTCCAGGTCATTTTGACTTTGGGGAAGAATCAGAAGTGTCATGGTGCCAAAGTCTGGTGAATAAGGTGAGATGAGGACATATCATGATGTTTTTATGATCCCACTTTTCTGTTGGTTAGAACGAGGCAGCATCATTCACTGTAGTTTTGATCATACCTTATAAAGACATTCATTAAAGAGAACTTCCAGAAGTGCTTCAGAAAGTGGCAGAACAATGGGATAAGTGTGTTTGAGGTGATGAGACATATTTTGGGGGGATTAATGGTAGTGTCTTTTACTGTAATAAAATTTTAAATGTAAACATTCACTATATATTTTGATCACCCCTTTGTATTAAAAAAAGAAAATCTCTTGTCTCAGTTGCATTCTAGATAATTTCTTCAAATGTATCTTCCAGTTGACTTTTTTCTCTTCTGAGATGTCTAATCTGATGTTTAGCCTGTCTATTAAATTTGTTCTTTTTAATTTTTATAAATTTGTTTAATTATTTTTGAATAAGCTTTGTCAACTTATAGTCTCTTGTCCTTGCTCACAT